TCATCCAAGATGGAAAAGAGCCAGGGTAAATACAGAGTGCACAGCTCCTGGCTTTCCAGGGACATTGTAAACTGAGGCTTTGGCTGCAGATCTTTCATGTAGTTTCCCACATTGCTGGCAGCTGCAGTTTCCTCAGAAGCCTTGTTCCACTCTCTGTTTTCCTTAAACCTGCTAAAGTCATGGGATGATGCAGCAGCCCCAGTTTGCACACCAAGTTTTTCTCCTGACCTTTTGTAGTTTTCCAGGAGAGAAAGAAATGCATATAAAAGGAGAAAAAGTAAGATGTCAAATCCCAAAGGCAAATAACTCCTGCTCTTGTTCCCAAATAGATTACATAAGATCTGATTTTCTCAGAGGTCTGTCTTGTATTTTGAACACAGGGACCAACAGCACTGTGAGCAGGACACAGTGTCACCACCCTGTGTCTTATTCTGACAGACACCCTAAGCCAATAGCCCCAGTGCACAGAAGAGGCTCCCACTACAGTGGTGACAGTATGGCTCATTTCTCCTGTATTTTTCTTCTACAGACACATCTTGTCTCTTCTGAGCAGGAATGACCTAGAGCAACCCTGCCTGCTGAATGCACAGGGTTTCAGGCTTAGTGCCTATGGTCCTGCAGGACAGAGCTACTGCACTGCAGTGGGATCCACAGGGGCCAAGGGAGAGCAACCCAGCTCCCAGCACACACCAATCCAGCTGTGACCTCTCCAATGAAACCTAGCTGCTTCCTTAGGGTTAGCCACACCTTACATTACAGCCACTGCAGGACAACTGGAGCTTTTGGGGATCCCCCTCTCTCCAGACCTTTAACTCTGTGCTCTGCTGATACATTCCCAGGGTTGAAGTCACACACATGGAAGCACCTGCAAGCACTTGTTATGATCCCTTGTCCATCTCCTTCCTTACCTGTCACATTCAGCTGCCCCCCCAGGAACCAGGAGATTCTGCCCTGGCACAAGTCACAGTCCTGGACAGAGTGGAAGGGGGTGATCCAGGTGAGCCGGCTCCTTCCCAGTGCTCCCCAGAAGATGTCACTCTGCTCCACTGACACCTTGTACAAATCCTGGTGGTCCTTGGGTCTGGGGAAGGCAACAGCTTCAGGCATGTAGGCAGTGAGAGGCCCGTGGCTCCAGGGTCTGGCAGCCACCAGCCCAGAAGGGCATCTGGGAGCCTGAGAAAGAGCTTTGAAGCAGCAGGTCCTGGCCAGCAGCCTGGCCATCACTGCAGGTATCTGCCTCTCACTGAGGAGATGGATACCTGCAGCCCTCACAGCTGCTCAGCACACCTGGCCCAGGCAAGGCTCAGGCCTCTGTGCAAGGTGGGGCCACGTGGTCCTGACTGGACACAAAGCAGCTCTCTCACACAGGGAGCCCGGGCACCTCTTCTGCCCTGCCTTGTTCCTCTCCTCCTCTCTTCCACAGCACTATGGGAAAAAAGAAATTCAATCACTGTAAGGAAGGAGAGACTGTAGAAATATTTGACTGAAAATAACCTTCATGCTAATCTGAGTCCTGACAGCAGTTCTTGAACAGGAGCCAGGTTAAACGTGTGCCTGGGCTCTCCTCAGGGGCCAAGGTGCCTGGGCCAGACTCCAAGAGCCTGCTCCTTCTCTCCTAGGGCTGCACTGCATCCCCAGAGCCATCTGTTTCATCCCCACTTGCCTCCCTCACACCTCCATCTATTCATCACCATCCCCTCCCTTGCCTCTGCATCCCCCTGTGCTCTGCTGGCCACAAAGGCACCTTGGGGCAGGTTTCTGTTAATCTTAGGGCCACTCCCATGGTAGTCATGAGTGACAGCCAGAATTAATGCCCATTTCTGGCACAGCACTAGGCTGTGGTGGGCCAGGGAAGGTTTTTCTCACCTAGCTGTCAGCTGCAGGAGAGGAATATTGCATCCCATCCCACAGACCTTGCTGGGTGGCTGTCAGAACTGTCCCTCTGGCAGGTTGGGCTGGGCTCTCTGCCTCCTCCCAGCCACTACAGACTGGCTGTACCACCCACCAGCTGGAGCATTCAATTAGGCCATGGTGGAGCAGCTGGGGGTGGTTTGACATGAAGTATTGCAGCCCATCTCCTAATGCTGACTTCCCACCACCCACCACAGCAGAGCTCATATGCCTCCAAAGAGGGTTTTTTTCCTACCTTCCTTTCCTTCAGGCCCTATATAGGTAGGTTTTTTAAGGTAGAATTTGCAGGATTCCGTAATGTCATTGACCAAATTCCCTTCTCTTCCTAGGGGGCACAAGAGAAGAGCAGAGAAAGGCTCTCCCTGCAAGTAGGGTTGTTCTCAGCCATGCACATCAACAGCAGAGATGACAGGGTTAGGAGATCTCCTCTTTGCTCTTCAAAGTGCAACACCACTCACTGTCTATGGAGCCGGTATGTTTGGTGGACAGGCTGGACACCAGTGTGGGAGACAGGCACCATTTCCCATCAGGTGCACTCATCCCAGACCACACATCTGTTTTGTGTCAAAGCCACCCCGAGCTCAGTGGGAACCAATAAGGGCCCTGTCCCCTGGGGAATCACAGACCTTTGGGCCTACAGCCTCTCCACAAAGTCAGGCCAAGTAGCCTCATTGTTCCACAAGTCTCTTATTTCCTATGCACCTCAGCATTATCCCTGTCCCTGGAAGTCACTAGGTGTTTCAGCAGAGCATTCCCAGATGCTCTCAGCAGGGCAGGCGGGGCCTTACCTGGCTCCTGCTCTAACACAAGCCGGGTTCCGTTGGGGAGGAGCCCAGCGGCTGCAGGGGCGGGTCCCTGTGGGTCCGGCAGAGCCAATCAGCTGGCTGGTTGTGAAGATTGACACCTGCTTAAGCCACTCAAGAAGAGTTGCACACGCCTCTGCGGAAAAGCGGGTTTAAAAACGAACAAATCCAGCCCGTATGAAGCTTTCTTGGCTTTCGCCATTTGAGCAGTTGCCTGGCTGGGCTAGGCTGAGCCGTGCCGGGCACTGCTGTGGCGCTGGCCCCTTCCCGTGAAGCCCGCCGGGCCCTGTGCCAGTGAGGCAGCTGGGGCCCCTTCCCGGCAGAGCCTGTTGGTCCTTTTTTGCCAGGGGCTTCGCCAGGCTGTGCCGCTGGGGACCATCCCAACGCTAGGTGCAACCATGAGACCAGGACCAGCGCTGGGAGTGACCCCACAGTTGGCACTGGGTGCAGCCCCAAGGCCAGGAGAGCCAGGGAGTGGCCGCTGTCACCCCGAACCGGGAGCAGCCTCATGGCCGGGACTGCGTGGCCAAAATCGGCACAACCAGGACAGCAGAGCATGGCCGTGGCTCCTCAGCATGGCTCGCAATGAACTTTGTTTGCTTAGCCGCTTTTAGCCAGCCATGCTGTGGGCAGAAGGACAAAAATGGCAGCAGCAGCTTTTCCTGGGTTTGGTGCTCCGTGTGAAGAAAAGCAGAGTAGAGCCAGCGGCCAGCACAGCTCGCACAGTGTCGGCAGAGACCACGTAATCAGCAGTGAGCGGCACAGTGAGCGATCTCTCTGATGTAGGGCCTGGATGAGATCAACCTTTCAGCACTGCAGAGCTCTAGAAAAACTGTTTCAATTGATTAAGCATGAGAACAAATGAGCCTACAAACTCCGGTTCTCCCCCAAATCAGGAAAAGGAAAGGGTGAAGACACGTAGAGAAAACGACATGGGACACTGAGGTCAGTGAAGGAGTCAAACTCTTAGGTGGGAGGGGATTGAGGAGACGCCTTAGTTTTGAGCTGAAATTCTTTTGTAAGGCTATGGTGAAGATATATTTGATATATCAGACTTTGTTTTTCCCCTGTAATTCATGGAATGCTTTGGGAGGAATGTAGCATTCTAACCACAGCCATGAGCAGAAGCATTCGTGTTGAAATAAGCAGATGTTGCAGCTGCTGCGATCCAATGAGAAGCTTGAACAGAGAGAGATGAGAGAGAGGAGTAGCCTTGCCCAGGTGCAGAAAGAAAACCTCCATTCCCAGAGATGGACAAAAAGAATTTTTGCTTTTATAGTAGAGATGCTCATCCTTAATATAGTACTCTATAAGTTGACATGGCCCATGAACACACCTGTGGGAAGGCTGCAAGAGATGGGAGGGACTTCATGATCGCAAATTTCCAGGCAGTTGCTATCTATGGAAATTAAAAACCATGAGAGAACTGTTTCTTGTGGAGAAGTCTCCATGGCATGGCAAGAGAGACTCCTCTCCCTAAGAGAACTGAAGAAAGACTGTTTTAGAGGTGACAAACTGACTGAAAGTCCCAAATTTTGTCTCTTTACATTTTCAGTGGGAAAGAAAAGAGGATGTGGGGGGAGGAGGAGTGTTCTGAAGGTTTATTCTCATTTTCTTTTTATATTTTTCTTTTGATTCTGGTAATAAAGTTTTCTTTATATCCTTTAAAGTTTTGAGCCTGTTTTGCCCTGCTCCCAATCCATCTCACAGCAGGAAATGAGTAAATAATTCTAGTGGATGCATTGGTGTTTGGCACTAAACCCACTGTGCCTGGTAACCCAGAATAGGCTTCCATTGCTCTCGAATTGGAGCTCACCCTAGCTGGAAATCCCATGGGTGCTCTTCCCTCTCAACCAGCTCCCCTGCACTTGTGGTGTCTGGCTGCTGGCCCAGGGCCTCAGGCCAGCAGGGCCATGCTGCCTCTCCTGGCAGAGGCTGAGCCTGCCTGGAGGTCTGTCCAACTCTCTGAACACCAGGGCACACGTGACATGGGGTGACCCAAAGCACCAGGGCTGCTCCGGATGCTGAAATGACTTTTCTTTCACCAGCTGTATGCTGTAACTTCTGTTCCAAGTACAAGCACACCCCTTTCAGTTTTGTATTTCACTGCAGAGAGAGACCCCATCTCTTCCATGCCCCAGTGGGGAGGAAAGTGCAGACCTCTGGCTGCTTTGGATCTCTAATGTCTCTCTGTCTACAGCATGGCATCCAACTCCCTCTGAGCTCTGGCTGAACTCGCCCTTCTTTAACATTGGTGACTGGACTCATACACAGTATTCCTGTTTAGTTTTATTCTTCTTCATATCTTTACAGAAAATGGCACATAAATCACAGATGCTGGATGACTAGAAGTTGTTACAGCTTCATATCTCAAACACCTCGATACTGAATTATTTTCTCACTGTATATACATTATTTACACTCCATGGGCTATCATCTAACACGTCAAACGATCAGGGGACAAAGACAAACAGGTTGGATGTCTGGGCTTAACCTCTGATGGAAGAGAAACAGTAGCTCTGGGGAAAGGGTGCTCACAGCTGAAAGCGGGACAGAAAGGGTCACCTGGAAGTCACTGTCCTACAGCTTTCGGAGGGGGAATAGTGCTTCACTGGGATGGGAAGGTGATGGTACTATGGAGTGAGTTTGGCTGTGTGGGTCTGCATGTGCTCCTGTGGGATGTATGTACACGTTACAGGGTGTGTCAGGATGGATGTGCATGGCTGTCATTCCCTTTAACACTCAGAGGGTGCGCTGGACAAATTTAATTCAATAAATACATTAGGTGGATGTTGTTTCACCTGGAATAAGGTATTCAATAAATAAATTCACCATTCATCCCCTCTGCAGGGGTGTAGGGTTTTGGTGTTTGGTGCAGAGTCAGACCCAGCCCTGCAGGACCCAGTGAAATGGGCTGGGATTAGCTCAGGGTGCCAGGTGGGACCAGGGTGTTGTGCCTGTGGGCTAAACCTGCCTCTCCCTGCCAAAGAGAGGCAAAGCATAACTGCTCTTTAACTGCAGTCCCTTCCCTGCAGACTTTAGTGCTGAGCAGGGAGAGATGGGTGGAAGATGCAAGCCACCCTAGATGGATGGTCATCGTTTCATGCAAGCTCTGCCATGGGCCTGTCCTGCTGCAGCCTGGGCCACAGGCAGAGGCGATGGCCAGCAGAAGGTGACGTGTCTGCCTGGGGCACAGTGGGACAGGGCACAAGAGGAGGGGGCTGGGCAGCACTGGGCAGAGCTGTGCACCAAGGAGAGGTGTGGCAGCAGGGAATAGGCTTGCTTCAGGATGGCCAGTGGGGTTTGGGGCTGCAGCAGAAGGAGAAGGCCCCAGAGCCAGGTGTGAGGCTGAAGGGACCAGAGCCTTAGTGTCATTGCTGGCAGCAATGATGTGACACTTCCCAGTTCCCCAAAAGGAAGGGGTGGGGGGTGAGGAAGGCCTGGTGGGGTGGAGGAGCGAGGGGCAGGGGTGTGCTCAAGGGGAGCAGGCGGTGGGCACCCCTGCCAGGCAGCCCCAAACACAGAGAGCAGGGCCCCTCTCCCTGGCAGGGGTGGCCAGGGACACCTGGCAGTCCAAGGGGGAACATGGCCCCCAGAGGACACAGTGTCTGTTGGGGCTGGCTGCTGCCACCTCTGTTGCCCCTAGATCAGCTTCTCCTCCTTCTGCGATGAGTTCAGCTTCTCCGTCTGTCTCTCGTCCTCTGCCACAGCCGCCTCCTCCCCTGTCTCCGGCTTCCTGCCTGGGACTGGGCTGTCCCCGGCAATGGTCCCCAGGACTTTGGTGCTGTGCTCCTGAGCTTTGGCCCTGAGGGCAGCAATGCTGTTTTCTCTCAGTTCCTCCTGGGAAATGGTGGTTTTGGGATCAGGACCCCTTTCTTCCTTGTCACCTTTGTCAAGCTTGGGCAGGGCCTGGCGCTCCACCTCTGTCTTCCTCCCCGCCTCAGCCGCTGCCTCCAGAGACTTTTTGTGCATCCCTAAAAAGAATTGTTGGTATTCGGGTTTAGAAAAGCGCCTGGGCATGGGAAAGCCATCTTGAACTGAAAACAGCAAAGATAAAGAGAGGCCAGAATTAAGGAAAAGCAGAAACCCTTGCTTCACACAGCAGTCATGGCGAGCCACTCGCTCTGGCCCCCACACAAGGGCAGCCCAGCATCTGTGGACTGTGGCTGGTCCCAAAGGTCTATAATTACTCTCCCCTTCATTTCTCTCTGTGAACCTGAAGCTAACTTGTTCCTGCATGGAGATGAGGGTCTCAGACAGCAGCATAGCTGCCTGAGCTTCACCGAGGCTAGGGAGGGAGATCCCTCATTAGGAGGGATATTTTTATTTCTGTATCAAACCACAAACACCCTTCTGCCTCTCTCTGTTTCACAAAGACAGAAGGACAGGACAGCCCATTGTCAAGATGCCAGATACTAGTTTTGGGGCAGAACCAGCCTGGAAGGTCAGAAAGAGGGAAGCAAAGAGCAGGAGTGTGACAGGGTAGCTGCTACCTCCATGTCTGCACAGAAAACCAAGTGAAACTTGGGCAAAGAGAGCATTTGGGAGTTCTAGCACCCTATCCAACATCACAGGGCTGGAGGAGTGAGACTGGGATGACCTCCTGCCTTGGGCAAGGATTGGAGTCCCTGCTCCAGAGCTGGGCATGAAATATGCTTGAGTCATGGGAAGGGAAGGGAAGGGAAGGGAAGGGAAGGGAAGGGAAGGGAAG